GATCAAGGGTTTTTCGTGAGACCCGTAAGACCAATTTATGTTTATTGATCAACTTTATAAGCTAATAATCTAATTGTCTAAAGTTGCACGGTGGCAATTTTGTGATTATTGAGAAGTCTCGTGGCAATTTTGTGATTATAAATGTTCAGATTGTAGATCTAATCCAAGGGTTAAGTATTGGTCTTATGGGTCTCACGAAAAACTCTTGGTCTCACATGATCCCAAGTCTATGTATATGTATGTATGTATATATATGTATGTACAGAGATAGGAAGGGAGTGAGTTTCAAATACAAACCACCTTAACCGTCCATCTAGCCTAATGAATATCTGGTTTTATAAATATCTCAATGGTTTCCTAATATTAAGCAACGATCATATTCGATTAACCCTATCATCTTCCATCAATATCTCGATCATAATGAATGACCCCTGATCATCTTCCATAAATATCTCGATTGCTTCCTAATATAATCGTTAATCATGGTTTGTATATGATTTGTATTTGAAACTCCCTATATATGTGCATATACCGGTTTGACATTTCTTAAAATATTTATGGTTCGTGTGCGTACAAGATTGGCATTCAAAGTCCAAGGACGACAACCAACACAAATCAAATGGAGTTCTTGTTACTAAACATATTATAGAAGAGGTTTAATAAAGATTTCAATGGGCTAACCATATTCGTCAATTGGTGCATCATAATCATAGCTCGTGGTTATAAACGGCCCACCAGAAGTGCGTCCGAAATTTGTCCCACCATGATACTAAACATGACACAAAAAAATGAAGTCAAAGTAAAAGATCAATCAAACACTCAAAGAAATTGCATCAAGAAATCAAGAACTCGTTAAGAAAATACCATATAATAATTATGAGCACTTCCTCCTTTTTGGAAAAAACGAGCAACAGAATAAGCAACATCTTCCGCGGGGCGGTGGGGATCCCTACCTCCAAATGTCTTGAACCTATGACACCATAAGAAAGATACAAAAGATCAATGAGCAACTGGAATTTGATGCAAAGATAGTGTTGAAATATTAGAGTTATGTACCATCCGGGCCAATTTTCAGTCCAGATTTTGGGCATCGTTGCGAAGCTTGGCTTGAAATCATCACAGTAAAACGAATTGCATGTATTAATCTGCGCAGTTTATAGAAAAATCTGTTACTATTGATGAAACTGCAGCTTGATTCAGATTGTAAAATGACTGACTTCTGGAAGGTGGAGATCCATGGGCATTAGCCACCAAATCCCTGATCCTATAGAAACCTCCCCTCTCTCTGTAATAACTCTTCTAGAGAGATTCAATAAGGTTACTCATATCCTAACATGGTATCAGAGCCAGGGTCTACCACATCTAGGAACTCGACACACTCTTTTGCCTCCGTTTGAGGGGGGTGTCGGAGTCCCACATCAGGTAACACGAATAATCGAACATGTATGATGTAGGAACCTCCTCTCTCTCTATATATATATATATACGCTAACGGGGGAAGGGGGTCGGGAGTGAAGGACTCTCACCACTGGATCTGGAGCATCCCATTGCTGACACATTATCCACGGTACACCTGTATTTTGAGAAAGAGCCATTTTAGCTGCCCATTGGGTATACGCTTTCCCACCCTCGCCATATGCAGCTTCATAGTATCCATACTCGTTTTCCACCTGCAATTAGTCGAGATAGCTGGTTGAAACTAAAACATCCTCTATAAGCTGAACTGAAAGCAACCATTTTCATTGTTTTACCATCTTTTTAGAGCTTTAAACACAACAAAGAAGTTGAAATTTAGTGCTGTATGAATATTGAAGTAGAAAAAAAGTTCATTTCAAGTCGAAATATGCATTTTTTCTATGCAAATTAAACCTCGTTACTTGAAACTTTGCGGTCTTCCGAAACCATTTTTAAGATGCTCAGGGTTCGTTTGGTTTGACAGAATGTTTCTGAGGGATCCTATGAAACGGATCCTCAGTTTCTATGAATATGAAACGGAGCTAAACCCAGAAAACTTGCCTGAGATAAGATGATCGGACCTCCTTGTGATGCGAAAAACTTCTCTTTCTTCATCATATTCACAATAAGAGTTGTGAAGTTCTGCATGTAATGCTGTAGTTTCCACCAATAATACACATTTACATTCACAAAAGGAAAAAAGATATCAAACTTTCCTAAAATAAACATTCTACTCTTCAAAATATCCATTTTTGTTGAGCAAATAGATAATTGGAACTTGACAACTTTCCAAAAGGGGACCTCTTTTTGCAATTTCCATGGACCACAAAGGAATTTCTCCTAAAACTTAGAAGATAACATCAACCAAACCAAAGGGTCTTTGGCCCAACGGTAGCCGGAATACTGGTACAACCCTGCCTTCCAGGTGGTCAAGGGTTCAAACCTCACCAAAGGTCAGGAGTGTGTGTGAGTATTATATATTTCAAAACATTAACCATTTTCACACCTTGAAAGGTTCATTGTCGGTTCTGAAGACAGTCCCCGGCACATAATGCAACCAAACAGGTATACCGCTGTATAATATACATTTAACTTGTTATGAAGTCGAATCAAATTGAAGCCCCTCACTACTAATGTAGCATATATACTCTCTTCTTCATCCCAAATTAAGTGTCCACTTCCAAAAGTAAGTGCATGCTTTCCAATTCAACCCTTAATTATGAGATGGAGAAATTCATTACTCCTTCTATCGTTAAGGGTAAAACTGTCATTTAGTTCATTAAAAAAATGTAATAATTACACATTTCTAGAACTGAATGCCGTTTCATTGTGGACATTTATTTTGGGACGGAGGGAGTACATTTTAAGCATAACAAAATGCAATTAAAGCATAATCCAACTTGAAATCAACTTAAATCAAGAAAAAGTAGTCATCAACTCACCCAAAGTTCCATTCTGCAGCAACAAACGGCCCAATTCGGAGAATCAGAAGCATACCAGCTTCCTGAACTATCTTCACAAATTTGGGCAAATCATACCTTCCACCAAAATAGTACTATAGCACAAAAATGATCAATCAGTAACCATTTGAACATTTGAAACGAGCAAGTTAGTTTCATGAACCATCGTACTGTTAATTGCAACAGAAGGTCAAGCATGATGGTATGAAACGTCAGTTGCTCCATTTGTTACTTTTTTTTGTAAACATGGGTGTCCAGGCTAGCTTGTGCGCACCTCGACTCATCCCATGGGCCCTGAAGATTACATCAACCAGTGGCCCTAAGGAGACTCGAACTAGCAACCAGATGAGCTAGCCCTTAAGGTTTTCTTTTGCAAAATAGAAAGGTTTTAAATGGCACTCACATTGCCTGGCGATGGTTCATGACCGTTCCAGAATACATAGGTCTCAATCACATCTACACCTCCTTCTTTTGCCGTTTTTACCAATCCGGGCCACATCTATCACACAAGAAAGTTGTATAGCTATGCCATTAGTGCTCAATTTGTATCCAAATCACTTAGAATCAAGGAAAGTTCTTTTGTTCAGGGGAAAAAACTTGATCTTTTGCCTAAGATTGTTTTATTGTTGGAAGAACACAGTTCAAGAAAGCATATCAAATTGAAGAAATCAAAGCTACAGTTTCCTTTTTCATCTAAATTTTCTAGCATAGATGTTAACTCCCTCAGTGCGTTTGTTACGCAGATGGGACTGGACAGCACTAGATGGGACTGAACTGGACAGGACTGGATGGACTAGAGTAAGGTAGACCGATGAAAAAATTCAGGCTGGTTTTAGGGTTTTAATTTGATACAAGTAGTTCAAAGATTTACCAATGTTGTGTCATCTCCCTCATTTTTGTCCCACCTATTTTGTTGGTCATGTCTCAGTCTAATGTCGTGTCAAACGTGGGATGACAAGTTTTTGTAGAGTCATGCTAGATCTAATCCTGTGTTTCGTAAAAGTCCTTCATTAATAACAAAACAAGATAATCTTGTAGATCAGAATCACCAAGTTATAGATGAGCACGAACGACATTCTAGTTTCGAAACTTTTTACCCTAATGCATCCCCAGGTAAATTGTTATCTCACCAATGATAACCCTACTCTTAACACATAACAAACCAAACCAAATGCACCCGGTGTACTCTACCTAAGGTGGGGTCGAGGGAGTGAAGGTAAGATGTATGCAGACCTGACCTATATCCAAAAGAGTAAAGCAGATTCGAACTCAAACACATTCAAAGTTGATAAATCAATAAATCATTAGCTCTTGTTTTTCCTCAATCAAGCACATAGAAAGTTCTCATATCTCCACAACAACATAGAAATAGAGATAGATTATTATCACTAAAAACCTTCAAGAAATCAATTAATGTAATAACTTTAACTAAGCATTAGGGTAAGGATGTTCACCTTCCACGAACAGCCAACACATAAACACATTATAAATCAAAAAGATCAACCAATAAAGACAAGAAAAGAAGGGCAGTAAAAGAAGATAACATTTCAAGAAAATCCCAACTCTAAGTAAGCAAAATAAAATCAAGAACCACAAATATATTTCATTAAAACTCCAAAATCTTTGATGAAAATGGGGGAAAATACACATTTTAAAGATGGTTAATAGTCTTACAGCAGGAACACTACGAGGGTAGTGGATGGCAGCTGAGATAAGAAGCTTTCTTTCGCCATTGATGATGAGTGACCGACTATCATATGTCACATTGTTAACTGCTGCTACAAATGGCGAAATGTACAAGCATACAAAGCAGCTGAAGAAGAAGAGAAGCAGAGTACAAACAGTGGAAGCCATTGATGAATGCTTCCCCTCTTCTACTTCTATTTTGAAAAAAGCTCGAAGCTTTTTATATGGGTATTACGGAATCGAGAGATCTGATAACAATTATTTAAGTTGCACATGTATCTGTCTAATCTTTTTCTAATACTTTTCCTGGTTTCCCCATTTGGTGAGATGAAATCAGAATAAATAAATCAAAAATTGGGATTCAGAGCCACGTATCTTGATCTGAGAAGCTAACAAAAATGATGGGCCTGAAGCAGAGACCAACCGGCAATCACATTTATCACCATTTACTGTGTGTTCTTGTGTGTGAGAGAAAACGGAAAGATGTGGGTTTTTATTTTCTCAGATTCCCATACGGATTGGTAGGAAACAGACGTATCATTGAAAGAAACAGCTCATTGGGTCAGGTTTGAGATTGAATTCATGACGGTGGTCTGAGATTTTAGCTGATTTTGTGGGTTGGATTTGAGTTTTATATATTTTTACACATGTTTTGGTTGTTAAATATTTGACTATTGTACTGCAAATTTCTTTGTGATGGGGCTTTCTCCTTTTTTTTTTTTAGATACTTTGCTCACTTTATCATCATCCATTTTAAGGATTGATTATGGTGGTAGTTTTAAGTTCGTTTGGAGTTGTTGGTTTTGATTATGATATTTTGGTTTTGTAAAATTTAAATTATGGATTTGATTTCCATGTTTTAGAGTTAATTAGAAGGGTATTCGTGTAATGTATTGAAATACATCTTGATTTCAATATTTCATTTTATTCTTTTTTTTTACTAACCTGGATATATAATCCGTTCTGCAAGCCGATTAATCCCAGAATGATCACCTGTTTTGCAGATAGCCTGGAGTCATCGCATTTGACCTCCGTGGCCACAAGAAGATTTTTATTTCTCCTTGGATTTGAACTTGCTGATACTTTTGATCTTTTGAGTCAAGTTCAAACCATTTAGACACCACCATTGTGGTTCATTTTATTTCTTTTTATGTTGATATAATACAGTTTTATATAGTTTTGAGAAAGCGATAGTGTTTTTATTTTTGAATATATAAATTTGGAAATCTTATAAAATTTTGAAAAAAAAATGTATCGATATCGATATCAATATCAAATTAACTTTTTTAAAAATTTTTGTGTTTTGGTGTAACTTTCTTAATTCAAATAATTTAATTTAGGTTTAGTAACAAAAAAATTTAATTTAGGTTTAATAATATAATTTTTTATAAAGATAATAACTAAAGTATTCTGTTATAACTCAATGATTATCTTAATTATATTTTATATTTTTTATATTTGAAATAAAATATTTATCCAATATTTAATTATGTTTATCTGCAGTTAGTTATACGAATTCAAATATGTAGCTTTAATAAGTTGTATTAATGCACAATTTACTTGTAATCTTAAATATTAAGTAATATGCATCAATAAACAATACTTTATGCATAAAAATGATTTTTAAGAGTTTGTGTCAAAAACTTTATAATATAGTATAGATTATGGTATTTTCCCTCATTTTATTTATTTCAAAAAGAACACCTTAAGGTTTGCATTTTATTTCGGATTTGGTCTTTTGTCCTGATAGTCGTCCACCATCTCCATTAACAATAAAGGATCGGTTCCATAATCAACCTTAAACTATAAAAATCAGATCCAAATCTAATGGATGATAACAAAAAATGGACCGATCCCCTAAATGTCTTTCAATTTGTTTCTCTCTTTCTCTTCCACTTCTATCCTCCTGTGACGCTCATCATAGCGTATGAAGGCACGAAGCGCCTCAAGAATATGATTTCGGCAAGTTTGTTTCAAGCGAGTGATAAGTTACAGTACAAATAAATAGTAGGGGTGAGCAAAGACGGTATTCGGTCAAAATTAATGGAAATGGAACCAACGGTTTCTGGAATGGAGGAACCAAAACTGTTACACCAGTTCCCTATATTTGGGAAACGGTCTTGGAACCGGTTCTGATACCGGGTACCCGGTGTCTAATGTTTTATAAAATTTTATCATTTCATACTATAAAAAATAATTATTAGTCTATTAAAAGTATCAATGTAAATAAGTACTACAAACAGTGAAAACTAATCTAATAGAAACTAAAAACAAATAATTACATAAACTAATAATTTCAGTTTTAGTTTATTAAATATAATAAAAATAAAAAATATTTTTTATCAAAAAGATAACGGGTAGCCGTCGTTCCGGTTCTGGGTACCCAATCCTACGTTAGGAGGGTCAACCAAATAAGTTAAGCACCATGAGTTTAGAGAATCATTCAAGGGGAGTCAACCCTATGAATTGTCACAGAGACATCCCAATCTTGCTATATATATCTATCATTTAGTGTCAGTCTTTTATCTATCTATTAATATGGGATAGACAAAACTAATCAGAATTCAAGATTAAATAATACTCAATCTTAGGGTGTCACATTGATGGTTGTGGTTCTTACTTTTAAATATAGAAAGAATAAAGATTATATATATAATTAATTTTTAATATGGATTAACTCTTAATGCAAAAAGTGAGTTGGCCAAAATGAAGCAACCCCATGTGTTCGGAGGGTCGTCCAAAATGCTCTAATCACAGATGTTAAGAGAACCAACCAAAAGGAACCAACCTCATAAGTTGTCACAAAGACATCTGGACCTCATTTTACATATCTAACATTTTTGTCAATCTTTCAACTCTCAATMAGTGTGGAATATATAAAACTCAATCACAATTTAAGATTGAAGAATATTCAATTATTAGGGTGCCGCATCAACGGTTCCGCTTCTTACTTTCAAAAACATATTAAAATTATCTCTTCAATTAATATTTAGTATAGATTATTTTTGTCACAAAAAAAAGGGTTGGTCAAAATGATTCAACCGCATATGTTTGGAAGTTCAGTCAAGATGATTCAACCACGTGAGTTTAGACAATTGCTCGTGAGTTTAGACAATTGATCCAAACATTTAAAGATAAACATGGCTTATATAGCCAAATGAATCTTTTAATTTTCATAGGGAACTCATATTTCTCTTATATACTCATTTTTCTCATTGACGTATCAATTTCTAATCAATGTGGATACCAAACTCCAACCACAATACAAGAATTTTAAAATATTTGGTTTTAATGATGAAACCTTATTATATATATGTTCAGTTTTTATTTTGGGCCTAAAAAAGATATTACCGTTAGCCTTAGTCCGTTCCACTTACCAGATCACCAGTCCATGTCCATCATCCATTCAATCCTCGCTCAATCGCTCGCTCTCGCTCTCGCAACAGAAATCGACGCTCCCTCGCTCTCCCTCACTCCTCCCTTGCTCTCGCTCGACGCTCTCTCTCTGCCTCTCCCGACTATCGACGGTCGGCGTTTGCCGTCTGCGGGCCTGCCATCTGCCGCTGCCTCTCGTCGCCGGTCGGCGGTCGCTCTCGCCTCTCGCTCTCCAACCTCCGCTACTGTTGACTTGTTGAGCCATTGACATTGAGGTTAGGGATTTAACATTTAAGTCTTTAACTTAGGTTATTATAGTAGTTATTTAGTTATTTTATTTACTTTACAGTTTACTTACTTCATTTTTTAAATTTTAAATTTTGTTTGAATGTTTGATTGAAAACCTAATAATGAGACTAGCTTAGTCCTGCTTAGTGCTTAGAAGCTGTGAATGTGATTATGTCATTATGTGATTGTGAAATTTAGAAATTGGTGACTTGCTTTGTTGGACTATTTTAATTTGTTTGACTCACACCACACTCACTGATTGTTTTTGTTTCACTTGCTACAAACCAGTGAAACCACAAAATTAGAATTTAGAAACAAATGACAACCATTTGTTAATGTTTTACATATGCTTAATCTTATGTTTAACACTTTAACTTAGGGGTTAGTGCTGTTTTACTGTTTTACAGGTGCTTATGTTTTCTCATTTATCAATTTGTCCAGGTTGTTTAATAGTTCCACTTTCTTGGCAATTTCACAACACAAACCACGAAGTACCGTTGCATCATTTTTGTTATATTTAAGGGGCACTTTTTTATTAGATTGACTAGGTTCCAAAACCCTATAAATAGTTTATTTTGGTTTTTATTTACACGTGTAAGGGGCATTTTTTTTACTTTCCGCCGTAGGCATCCAAAATCTCAAGGACGGCCCTGAAGATTAGCCAAGAGAACCCAATCCCGTGAGTCAAAATAAAGACACATCAACCTCCTCTTATATACCTACCTTTAATTGTCGATCGTTCATCTCTCTATCAATGTGGGATACACAAACTCAACATCAAAGCAACAAATATATAATATTCAATTCTTAGGGTGACACATCATTTCTTGTAAATCTTACTTATTTATAGAGAGAGCCCTATATATATAAAGATTTTTTCTAAAGGTGACTTTTTTGCAAACAAAGGGTTGGCCAAAATGAACCAACACTTCATTTTGTTCAAAATTTTCAACTCTTCATCAATGTGAGATATCTCAAACTCAACTATAATTCACCAACACCTCAATACTCAATTCTCAAGATGATATCTCAATACTCTTGGTTCTTCCTTTAATATATATATATATATACAGATTCACCAACACCTCAATCTCAATTCTCATGATGTCACCTAAATACTCTTGGTTCTTCTTTTAATCTATACTATATTATAAAGTATTTGGCTAAAACTCTTAAACTCTTAAAACTCTTAAACCCGTTCATCCCTAAACAATTTCATCCCTATCTGATTTCATCCCATAACTGAATTCGTGTAACTAACTGCAGATAAACACAATCAAATACATGATAAACATCTCATTTTATATATTAAAAAACCAAAAATACAATTAGGATAATCATTGAGTTCTAACAAAATACTTAATTATTATCTTTATAAAATGTTATATTATTAAACCAAAATAAATTATTTAATTATTGAACTTAAATTAAATTAAAAAAAAAAATCTATACTATATTATAAAGCATTTGACAAAACTCTTAAAAACTACTTTTTATACGTAAAATACTGTTTAATGTTTATTAATGCATATTACTTAAAACTTAAGATTACAAGTAGATT